ATGTTAAAAGTCTGAAACACACATATATTCGCTTTTAACTCTATACAAATCGTAAATATCGTATTTATCGAATAATTTTTAATCTATTAGCTCATTAATATCTTTAATAATGGCATCTATTTTAGCTTATAATTGTTACCAATTAAAAATGACAGAAACGACAATATTTAAGGATCACATTAGCTTGCGCCAACACGGTAAAGAATGATATAATTAAACCAAAAATTACATGAATGATTAGCAGTTGAACTCGAAGAGTGCGAAGATTCGACCAGAATTGAAGATAAGCAAAAGAAAAGGATAGGCAGAAGGAACAAGGAGCTCGCGAAGGTGAAGATGGTAACGTGAAGAGGCGGGATCAAAGGAGCAGTACAAAGTGATAGAAAATTGTTGAACGATGGAAATAAGCTCGATGACGACGACGGTCGCTCACGATTATTACGATGTTGGTGTATTCACGCAAAACTTCAGCAACACCAATAACAGCGGTAACGACGAGCAGCAGTTCGAATGTATGCTGCCGGTCAATACCAACGGCCTGGCCGTCTTCGTTATTTATGGCATATTCGCCAACCTGATCGGTCTCTTTGGGATTTTTGGCAACACGATCTCGATGATCATCCTGTCGCGGCCGCAGATGAAGTCGTCCATCAATTATCTACTGATTGGACTGGCCAGATGTGACACGGTACTGATCATCATTGCGGTAAGTGCGTCTCTCTTATACTTATACATCATGCACTTTCTACGCCAAAGAAATAAATACATTTAAATTTTAGGGAAAGAAAAATTATGTAAAAGCGTAAAAAGCGCACTTTTTAAAAGTCAGGAAATATAATCTTCAAAGAACTAGAATGATTAATGTACGCGAAAAATTGTACTTTGCTTATGGCATGCTGTATTTCTTAGCACTTGAAAAAAAATTAGAAATTACGTAAAGGAAAACATGCTGATACCTCGTTTAACTTCGTGAACATTTTCATGAATTCATATTAACGCCGAAATTAAATTTTATTTTATACGGTAGAATTATTGTGCGGGATCGTAAAATGCTGCGGAATATTGCACGTTTAATGTAAAAGAAACGGTCAAAGTTAACAGCTACTTTAGTGGGCTGGTCGAGTTACTTTTTGCCCTTATTATGAAGAAATAACATGAAAGAGTTTTTTATTGTACCAAAATTAAAATTTTCGCTTTAAAGGCTTTTAAAGGACATTTTATCAAACAGAACAACGGATTTTATCAAATTAATTTATATCATTTATATATCGGATATTATTAATTTACATATTAGCCTAAACATTTTTGAATTATATTTATCTAAAATGTATTGCTCATATTTTTTAAAGAGATAACGAACCAAATTAAAATATCTTTCATTCGTGATGTAATATCAGAATAGGGTTACTTATATTACGGTCAACGATACGATGAATATTTCATGTATGCCTCCCGCACGATTTATTTATAAAATTCAATTAAGCATAATATATATGCAAATATATCCCACCCTTCGTATATTTTATGAGATTTATTTGTAAAACTTAAAGACGTCTCCTCAAAAAACGTAACTTTTCTCTTCACGATTCCAATTGATGCAACGTGTGACGAATCGCGACCCGCAGAACGGAAAATCAATGTTTAATTGGCACACATGACTAGGAAACGATTTTCAATAGGATCGTGGAACGCCTCGTAATTGCCATCGAATGACCCAGCGTTTACCGTCGTCGCGTCTGGCCGCTGCCGATCAATCATGCGCATTGCACCAGATAAAATTTAAGAAAAAAAGAACATGCATCATTCGCATCGTTGCATCATTCGCATCTCTACCCATCGAGTCGCATTTCGAAGGGCTTATCGCGACGCCTTGTTATACCGTTATCTTTTATTAACAATAGCTCTCGAAACAACCGAGCTCGCTCATGTCGAAAGTGATACGAGTTAACGTTTCAGGCACTACATGTTTAATCCTCTATGCCGAATATACGGGATATTTCAGAGAATCATCCTGCAAACGCGCGATGACAAAATGCAGAAAAGCGCCGTTTATCAAATCTATTTCAAAGCTAATATATTAGTTAATAACATATATTAGTAGTTTTTTGAAATATGAAATGGTCTTTCATGAATTAAGCTTTGCAGATATATTGCAAAACTTTATTCTTTATTTAATTTTAGACAGATCTTAGTTTAATGGAGTTTTAATTCGAGAGTCGCTTTTTATATTTAATGTTAAATATAAAAAAATTTGGAATTTGATGAAAATAATATAAATTTCTTTAAACTTAAAATATCAAGCCAGAAAATATAATAAGACTTCTGAGTAAATTAATCTAATATAGAGATTAAGAAAGCGCAATGTTCAGCTTTATATTGGCAGCAAAATTGATTTGTTTATTATTAAATCTCATTGTTAAGAAATTTAATCTCGTAAATTCAATTATTGTTTTGCACACGACAAAGAGTATACTCTTTTATTGTTCTAAATATTCTTTGTATTATACCAGTTTCTTTCGCTAATTAAAAATGCGAAATTCTCGCGTATTTGCCTTCGTTATACTGAATTTGACAATTAATTAATTTTCGCCGTGCAAAACAAAGTAATTAAGGATCCGAAAAGATTAATGACGTTTGATAACAAGTGTTAAATATCGAAATTCAATTTTCATAAAACATACCCACCACAGGTCATAATACCTTCGTCGTAGAAATCAGCTGCAGACCTCTCGTTTTAATTTTGCCTTTAATCCCGTGTTTTTCACAGTCGTAAATTTCCGACATAGCCGAGCTTTTCATTAAAATAAATTCTCTTTAATACAGCCCAGTAGCACGTACCGGTTTATCTCATATAATTTCAGCTATTTCTCTCTAAACATGTAATTTATATCTTTATCTCCACTCTCGCATTTTTACATACGTTTATGTGATTCCAAATTTTTTATATAAATAAAAAAGGAACATAAAAAAGGAAACTTGTTGATGAGAAACGTTGAAGAAATATTGGTATCACATTTTGTAATTTGCATTCTGAAATTTAAATATTTTAATTTTAAAATTTTCTTCCAGAAAAATTACGTATATTCAGTCTCCAGTCAGTAAAAATAAACTGAATAAATTATGGTGTATTTAATTATGATCAAATTCATATGTATTTAAAAAAGTTATATGAAATATGCATTAAATTTAAAAAAAAAATTTATAAGACAAAGTAAACCAAATTCGTGGAAAAGGTTTATTTTTTAAATATTTTACGTTGAGATTGAAAATAATTTCTATTAAAAATTCTAGTTTCGCGCAGTAATAGAAGATATAACAAAAAGAGCAGATGTCACGTATCAAGTCTTATTCTTCTTTATATAGGATAATTTCACATATCATCCCCCTAACACAATCCTTGTCAATATAAATTTGCGCTGCAGAGAAAAAGAATTACTGTCATCAAAAATGCATGGCCTGCCAGGATGTCGTAAAATAATATGGATCACATGTCGAGCTTATGTAAATAAGTCACCACGTGCACCGCGGTTTCACATTTTCGCGGATAAAGTCAAGACTGACGCTGTGACGGTAAACAGGATCTTCCGGTATAAAAGAGATGAGCCAGGGGGAGTGGAATGTTCGTACGCAAGATCCTGTCAACCCTCTCGAGGCCACATTACACAAACCAACCTGGTTATTAATTAATTATTCGAAGCAAACTCCCTTGACTTCGCACTCTCCCTTACTAACGAACTATTTAGGTATTCATCAATCAAATGCCGCGAGCGTAAACCGCTACACGTCTATAAATAATTGCACTTTACAATAAATAATAGTCAGAAACATTGCACATTCTTTTTATGGAAACGTGTTCTAAAAATAATATTTGTAAAAAGTAAAATAATTAAAACAAAATATATTGATAAGAGCAAATTTATTTTATTAATTTATATTTTATTGCTTATTAAAAATTGCAAAAGCCGAATGTGAACGAATGCCCGTGACGGAAAAGAAAATTAAATATATTACATAAGAAGCCCCTTTATCCTTATCGTATCTATAAATTATGCATTTATAGGTATTAATCTATGGATTACCGGCAATCTACACGTACACGGGCGCGCTATTCGACTATAAGTTCATCGTCTATCCGAAGACCATCAAGTACCTGTATCCTCTGTCTTGCATAGCGCAATTTGTGACGGTGTATCTGACGTTAACGGTGACTTTAGAAAGATACATCGCGGTCTGTCATCCGCTAAAAGCCAGATCCTTCTGCACTTACGGACGGGCACAAGTGGCGGTGCTGGTCATAGTCACCGTCGCCGTTATTTACAATCTACCTAAGTGAGTAATCGATCTAACATTGATCGTGCCTTCTCTCAATCTATAGTCGTTAGATAAGATAAGAATATAAGATTAGTATATAATAAAAAAAGAAAAAGCTTTAATTAAAATAATTGTGGTTAATCTTTTATCTGTTTGTGTTGTTTGAAACGATATAAAATATTCGTAGCGAGGAGAAAGATGAAAGAAGTATTTGAAAGACTGGAATTATTGTGCAAATTAATGGAGAAATTAATTTTTGAATTTACTTAGATTCTGGGAAATCGAAGTGTTCAACGAGAGGCACTGGAAGTATAATGTCACGGTGTACTGCGTTAAACCAACCGAATTGAGGAGCAACGAGCATTATGTCACCCTGTACATCAATTGGATGTACTTCTTCGTGTACTACATGTTCCCGTTCATCACATTGGTAATTTTCAATACGGCCATTTATCGACGGGTGAGTAGTATGAGTAGAGCTCAGCATCGTCATTGCACGTAAATTTTATTTTTAATTTAATTTACTTCGGGTATTATAAATTATACAGAGCTGATAAAACAATTGCAAAATTGTAATAATAAACTGATAAGAGAAATTAAAGAAACAGTCTACTATTTTATTGTGCAAGAATGTCGTCTGTGATCGTCAAATTTCGAAATTGGAAACATAGCAAAAAACGTTGACAGCCCAAAATGAAACACGAGCCGGATTAAACGTGAAGTATCGAGCAGCTTGTCGGCGAGCTTCCCCGATAGAACTAACATTTCCCAGATTTTACCTCCGTTTTATTAAAACTTCTTTTTAGAATTCGCCAATAAGTCATGACAAAGGAGCAGGAAAAGAGGGCGATCGGGCCGATACCGCAATAAGTTCGCGCTACCTTTATATGACATAAAAGTACAAATAATAAGCCGGGGCGACGAAACCAATATAGTGTATTCAGAGTGTATATGTCTCTTTGATATACGTGCACATGCTTAGAATTCGCGGGCACGTACAAGAGCAGCGAAATTCACGGACGGCTGCCCTCGCACGTGCCACTTATTGCAGCTCCAGACATAAGCAATATCATCCTCCTTCTCCTCTTTCTTAATTCTTCGACGAAATACGTGAAACATTTGCATCAGCCGGAAGTTAACATGCGTTAAATATTTGCGAAACAATTTTTGCAAACCAATTTCATAAATAATAAATAACAACGCAATATTATATAAAATCGGTAAAAGCCAAAATAATAGACAATCAAATTCAAGGGAAACGCCGTTAATCCGTCTGGATCTTGATTGCTAATATTATTTGAATGAATTTTACGTAGATACATATTCTTCGCCTTGGCAAACCACATGCCGTTACTTTCGGACATAATGCAGTCTCGAATCTTGAGTGCTGTTCCAGTTTTGGTCAACACTGCGTTATGTCCAAAAGTAACGACGCGTGGTTTGCCAAGGCGAAAAATTGTACGTAAAATTCACTCAGATAATATTATTAGACAATCAAGTCCTGGCCAATTAACGGCGTTTCCCTTTAATTTCATTGTGTCTCACGTACGGTCGTATTTTCTTTTACTTATTATCTGAAATAATAGTTTCAATATCAAAACTAGAATAATAATTTCAAGTCTCAGTATATCTTGCTTTCCTCTAATGAATTGGATTAAAAAGTAAACATAGAAAAATATAAATTAATATAACATAAATAATTTTATGTAAATTAATAAAGATTACTTTTGCAGCTTTAAAAATTTCTATAAGATAAATGTTTTTTTTTTTGTGAGAGATACCTTTTCTCTGTACGATTTAATTGGCGAGAAAAATGGGAAGAATATAAATTGGGACGATAAAACTCGATATATAGATTGATATAAGGACTATCTTCGCGATTTTAAATGATTTCTCCAAGATAAGAACTTTATACATTTTTCCGAGTACGTGATATGCATTTTCAAACAACATCGGGGGGCGCATAATATCCTTTGCGATAAGATTTAGCCGCAGGGTCGAATTGAATCCGCACAACCCTCGGGGTGTCCGAAATTACAAAGTGCCGGTTGTCGAAGGACCAACTATTTCCCTCAGCTTTCTCTTATCGCGAAACTTTACCGTCTATATAAACTTCGCTCTTAATTCCGGGATCAGGATGAGATTTTCACCGACATATTCTGCGGGACAACTTCCCTAGACTTTACGCGGACGAAAAGCGCGTTTCCGATGAGAAATGCTCATGCGGCAAATGAAGGAAGCCATTTAATCCCGTCTTGAAATTCTTATACTTCCTGGCGAAGTTTTGCAGTCTCTCTCTTGACGTTTCTCTTCCCGTCGACAAACCGCGACTAAATGACGAGAAAACGCGAGCGGAATAAAGAGCGAATGCCTTCGCCTTTGTCGATCAAAGTAAAAGGCACGACAAATATATGAATGCTCTCGATAAATAAATAAAAAAATATTAGCGCTAAAACTTATTTATTTTAGAAATCTGGTTCGATGAGCTTTCGAAAAATATATAAATTGTCGTTTAAATCGCGCCCTCTTATATTCCTTCGACAATAAAGGAAACAAAATTTCAAAGTAATTTTCTGTGAGATCAAGATAGCCCGTGGTAGTCATCCGTTCCGCGAGCGACGGGGTGACAGGCGTGACTCAACGCCCCGACGAGGAACAAGAGCTGAGACAAACGTTCGCGCCAGCTAAGGACATTCGCCCCGCTTTATTTACAAGACCCAACATATTCGCAAGGAGATACGATTCGCATTGCGCGTTTTCGTCTCGGCATACATGTATACGCTCGTGCTCGTGGATAATAATTTCATTAATAACTTGACGCGGGCACACTCGCGCGAAGAGAGCGGTACCGGGCGGTACCGAGTGAACCGGATACGGTAATCCGAGGCAATTCGGCGACACGCGACGCGCATAATAATCCGCCGGAACGACGTAAAGTAACGATAATAATTAGCGCTGCCATTTCAGCGTCGTAATTGTTTTAGCAGACAAGCACGCAACTCGCTCTCGCAAACCGCAAAATCAGAAGAATGCAAAAGACGAGCCGATATAAATAGACAGGAATTCGTGGCGCGAAATTGCAAAATTCTTCGAAATTTTGAAGACTGATTTATAATTTTTGAATTTTGTTCTTACTATTTCGTGCATCTTTCTTTTTCTATTATATATATTGTGTATCTTATTAAACAATCAAGTTAATTAATAAATAGATATATTTATTTATTTACTTTAGTTTTTCCGACGGGGTTAATTAATCAGATTACTTAATAAAAATCGTAACTTGTTATAATGACCATGTATTTTAAACATTGATTATATACAAGTCTAATTCTCTCTCTCACAACTAGTTTTGTCTATTTAGTCTATGACTATTACATAAATCATTATTGATTTTGGCAAATTATTTCTGATGCCCGACATAATGCAATTGTTATGCTTTCATATACAGCTTTCCGCTTAGTTTAAACCATGCTTGATATATTGGGATACATTGTGAAAATGATTAATATATCGGGAGCGTTCTATAAACTGCATATTTCATCACCTTATAAATCATATGTCATAAACAATGCATCCAATCATTTCGCGCATATGTCAGTCGTTATATGTACAAACACGGTGCTCTGTTGAAATTACACCCGTAATGTAATTGTCGTGTTTTTATCTTGCAACTTCTCAATCTGCTTTGGTAACTATTTCGGATGAGCCACGCCGCTGTATCCCTGTCTTTCGGAAGATCCCGAAAGATCCAGAACCGAAATCCCGAGATTAATCATTCTCGCGCACGAGAATCCCAGGCGTTCGTCTTTTAACGTTTCGCCCCGTTTGGCGTCGGTAGTAAAATATCGCAGCCCGTTTGGCATTCAGCGCTTTCTCACCGCGTTTCCCGAGCACGGCGTGGGCGAATTTGGAAGCCGTGGAACAAGTATCGGGAACAGCGAGGCGGGATGCGAACGTGAAATATACGCGACGGGCGCAAAGCTCGCGAATTTTGCGGGAATTGAACGTCCTTGTTGATGTCCCCCCTTTGCCTCTCTCTACGACCGATCAAATGTTATCGCATGAGGGGATCTTGGTGTAGAATAACACTCCAGTGATGAGAGACACGGGCAATCACAAGTATATTGACGGTTCTTACAGAGAGAGAGAGAGAGAGGGGGGGAGGGAGGGAGAGAGAAAGAGAGAGATCATGTCGAATTCTCATGTCAAAGCTGTGAAGTATGGTTCTAAGATTTCTCTTTAAACAAAACAATATAGCAACATTTTGTATGGAGAGAATGATCTAAGAATCAAAGAAAGAAAGAATAATTTAGAATTCAAAATTATTAATCCCTCCCTCTCTTCTCTCTATATATCGACATGAATATAATTGATACACGAATATAATTAGGCTAATGAACATTATCGTCAATCATTTGTGTATTTCGAAAGCGATCTTGATATTGTTGTCACAAAGAAATCGTTAAATTAATCAAAGTTTGTGATTAAAATTTAACACAAGAGAAATTGAGCATTCTACATAAAAAAAATACTATTAACGTCTCTTAACTTGAAGTCAGATAATTGTGACTTACAATATTCTCAAAATATCTTCTGACCAATATCTAATATCAGAATTTTGTAACTAGATGCCTATTTGCTAAATTAATTTAGGATCTAACAAATATCTTTGAAATATCGCGATGATTTTCACATTATAAATTTCACGTCGTCTTTTCGGGACTGAATTGAAGGACAAAACACCCGATTTTTCACAAGTTTCGTCGCGGAATATTTTTCTCTGTTGAAAGAACGATCGTAAATTCGAAAAAAAAGCAGGTCAGGCACGGTTAAAGGTACGTCACGCCGGGGACCACTGTGAACACAATGTGTTTCACATAACTTCGCGTCGAAACAATATGTGATTCACCGCAAAGTGAACAGTAGCTACAATATGTCCAGAGTGCTGTTATCATTTTTTATATTGCGCCACGAAGGACGAAGGCGCTGTTAGAACTACGTAATTTCAGTACGTCAAGCCTTTCACAAACTCTTTGTTTTATTTCCAAAAAGTACGTGATGCTTACGCAGAAGATTAATTTATTTAAAAAATGATTTTATATCAGTAGAATCTGGTAATAAATAATCTAAAAGTTGCGATTATACTTTATAAGAATTTCCGAAATTTTGGAAAAAGCCTTCGTAAAGTTTATAATACTCAATTAATTTGTTAATAATAAATTGAAATTTCTATTCAATTTATATGTAATGCTAAATGATCTCCATACAAAATGTTGCTATATTGTTTTGTTTAGAGAGAAATCTAAGAACCTACTTCACAGCTCTGACATGAGAAATATGATGATGAAATATATTTATTTAGTATCCACTTTTCCAACGGTCTCTTGTGTTTGCGCGGGAAATTGCGCTCCTTGTTTCATCGTGTATCCCGAGAAAACAAGAACCCGCTCATTAACCCTTCATCAGCCCTGTAATTAGTCGCGTTTTCTTCAAAGGCGCCGCGCCGGTCGATCTTCTTTTTTCCACGCTGTCCCAGAGTCGGCATGACCTTCTACTTGTCACCGTGTATTACACCGTTGAACGACACTCGAGAATTTAACGTCGGAAAAGTGTCTACCCGAAACTCTTGAAGAACTTATAATACGGCAATTCCGTATTATTAGTCTCGCGAGACGAGTAAATATACCGTCGTAATTCTCGTTAAAAGAACGCCATTGGCGCTTATTAAATACGTCTTTCTTCGTGAAGCGAAGAACTTAAGTTTTTCATATCAAAGGCGATAAAATATTTATTATTGAAGCAAATAAATGTAGAAAGCTGTTTTTTTATAGCGGTAATGAACATTGTGTCGCGTGATAAGATATTAAATTTCTCGATAAGAATAAACTCAAATTAACTAATTTAATTTAATTGCTTACTTTATAAGTGAAAATTTATTAATCAGTTTACGTCATATTTCGTGAAAACTCAAGATAAAAAAATTAATGAAAGATCTTTTTATAATATTTGTCATTCCCCGCAACTTTATAACGATGTTGGTTTACCTCTCATAATATATCTTTAGGCGTACGTCGGTTTTCAGGTGAGAAAGGCGAACAGAGACCTGCAGCAGCTGTCACGTCACCAACGTCGCGAGATCGGCTTAGCGACGATGTTGATGTGCGTGGTGATCGTGTTCCTGATCTGCAACATCCTGCCGATGATCACGAACGCGCACGAGACGTTCGTCGGGGATCCGCCGGAGTTGATGGTGCAGATCGGCAATCTGCTGGTGACCATCAACAGCAGCATCAACTTCATTATCTACGTCATCTTCGGCCGGAAGTTCAAGAGGATATTCCTCAAGCTCTTTTGCTCGTCCAAGCTGTTCGTGCCCGGTCGGGACAGTCCGGAGTTCCAGACGTACGACGAATCGATTGTCACCAATACGACGAACATCGAGCTGAGAAACTCAGTCAGGCACGGCCATCTCAATCGCGCCAACACCGTCAGCTGGAACAACAACATCCACGGAACAACGATATCCAACGGCGGCACCAGGCAGCAGAGCCTGAAGAGCGGCAGACCAGTCAGCCCCGGCTCCTGCGTTTATTATCCGGGCAAGAATCTGACGCGAAGTCCTAGTCAGATGTCGAGAACGTCGAACAGTCGGAACAATTGGAACAGAAGGGAGAACGGCGATTCCACCCTGTAATGGACAACCGTACCTCGCGCTTATTATGCAATTAAAAGTCTGCTAAGTGTTTTAATCAAACGTCAAAAACTGATTTTAGAAGCAGTGGAAAAAAAAGTAAAATGACAATTTCAATGCCAATGGACGACAAATGCTAGTCCTTTGATATGTTATCTTGCGAGAAATCAACGGTGTGTCTTAATTGCTGGCCGAGATCTTTGGTTGATCAGAACTGATGGAACAAAAGAATGATTAGCTTTATGTTCTATAATATGTACATATTATAGCTTGCTGCGTTTTCTGGTCTGTGAATTTGATGAGTGATCCAATTAAAAGAATGTCAAAAAGGACCAAAGCGATGTAAAAGATAATCAGTATTATTATCTAATGTTTTTGGATTATTTAAAATATCATCCAGTCGAAATTGAAGCAAAAAGACATTCGGAAGAAGCAAGACGGACAATAGCTAGACTATTTTATGTCGTAATAGATAATAATTAATAATCAATGGAATTATTCTTTATCTTCATTATTCAATCAAGAATCCTGCTGAATTCTATAGCAGGGTATTACGACAATCCGCAAAAGAAAAGATAGAATAAGAATGAAGATAGAAGAAGAATGATCAATGATGCGAATCGATATTAACGCTTTCGTATACGTTCCCGCGGTATACGTTTCCACGGTTAGCAGTTCCAACGTCCAGGACATCAGAATGGATGGAGAGGTGTAAAGATAAGATGGGGCGATTCAGCGCTGCAGTGGACAATCGATATTATTGTACCCTTGGGAAGAGCTCGGACCAATCCTTACGCTCGAACGTGGTAATCCTGCGGGATGGCACGGCTTCGATATAAAGGAAAAGAATCGTTAAGAATAACAGTTATCGCATTTCCTATCGCAGAAGAGCTCAGAAAGACCTAAGTCTGCTTGCAACGATGATCTTTCAAGCGATCCGAAAGTTCAATCTTGCTTCGGGGCGATCTAGTCGAATGTTAAAGAAAGAAACTGATGCTAAATCCTATAGCGCCGCCGTTTTGAATACTTTAAGTTAAGCAGCCGCTTGAATACGCTAGTCACTCGTGCTTAGTGCTTCTGTCATCCTCGAACATGAGTTTTCTTATTGTATGTCAAAGACGCATATAGCGACATTGACTTGATAGATTAACATAAGCGTAAATTGATAGATTAAGCAAAAACATTTTCCTTTTTCGTGATAAAAGACGTTAGGTATACCAAACGAAATATCTTATCAAAATTGAAGCGAACTCGCGATAGAAGTAAATCAAAAATAAAAATACGTATCACAGTTCTAAATTTTACCAAAATAATATATTGTATAAGGAAAATTTGCAAATTTTTCTTTTCAGAACTCTCGGATTTTATCTATCACAAATTCTTAATTTTTAGTATTAAATATCTTGACAATTAAAAAATTGTACTAAATGTCTAATAAATTTTAAAAAATGTTGCTGTTATATATATATAAATAAATATATGTAAACATATTTATTAGAATAAGGATAACAACCTCTCGCAAGAAGGCAGGAATCTCTATCAAATTATATTATAATTCCACAATAATCTTAAATCTTATTTTGCTTTAATTCTTGAAACAAAGAAAAGCAAAATGAAATTTTATGAACAACTTATATGGCTATGTTTCAAATGAAATGTAATACAAACAGATTATTTATACTTTTGATAAGAATTTAAAACAGAAGCATCAGACACATATTTTCTTGAAGCTCACATATTTTCTATCCTCTCCGAGCTACGCAACAAAATTTGCTTGGAGAAAAGATACAAAAATTTAATCAACATTAATAAAGAGCGAGATTTCAGGGTTTTTTTCATAACGTAATATCTTAATTTAGTCAAATTCTTTAATTTTCAGTCTTGAAATACTCTTAAATCGTTTCTCGCCATAATCCCAATTTCATTTAATTTAATTCTTCGCTATCTAGTGCTTAAAAGCACGTCCTTTTTCTAAGCATCCTTGATATATTACGCAAAAACTTATAAAACTTAGATGAACATGATAAAAAAAATCTTGTAAGCGAGATAAGCCAACAAAAGGTTTCAAGACCGGAAGTCAAACTTCATTGGAGAAGTGTTACGCTCCTACAGTGTAACCTTGAAAAAAAATTTTGAAAGTGATCCGCTAACTCGGACTCGGAGAACGTTTCGCGAACTTTGAGCATGTCAGTCACGTACTAAAGCTCTCCGGGGAAAATAAATCGAATTTCAAAGTCAGAAGTACAGAACCCAATAGTGCGACATTCCCACGGGGAGAACTTTTGTCCTGGCAGCGGAGAATCCTGTATCTTGCATTCTCGAACTATTGCTCTTTGAAACTTGAATACTGATCAACCTCAACCGACAGTCAAACAGTGACGAAGAAAGATGTTCCCATTATTGAAATCCCAAGACAAAAAAAATGCTGCTTCTAAATGCCACTTTGAAGAAAACTCAATTTAATTTAAAAAATATTTAAAAGTTTTCATAATTTGTCAGATATTTCTCAAGCATAATTTGAAAATTTAGAGTGATTTAGACGGCTATATACTTTATCAAAAATGAGAATGATTCGATAAAATAATAAAAGATAGGATCAATTTCCTATATTTTTCTTACAGTAAACTCACGATATTTTTTAAGATTTATTTTTACAAGACGAAACAACGACATATATACTGTACATATTTCTTTTCATTCGTGTGTATAGATTTAAAATAAATAAAAAAAACAATATTCAAATAGAATAAAAAGAATGAATACGCTGAAAAAAAACGTTAGAACTATAGCTTAACCAAAGAAAACTGTACTCCTAGTTGAATACTCAAAATATAAGTGTTAGCCTTCTAAATTTCACAAATATAATATTCGCACTGAAAAAATAACGTTCATCATATAAGCGCGAACAAATATAGATGTATTTTAAAAATAGAGAATCGTTAAAAACTAGACATTAATTTAAGGATTGTAAATATATTTCTATATCTACGAACTTATCAAATAATATATATGTCAACTTTAAATACTTCTCTTTTCCCCTGCTGCAAAAAATTATTTATTTACAGCTTGTACGATACTCTTTACTCGATAAGAGAATACCGATAAATTAGTGGCACTGTCCAATTCGTAATTTAGTTTACGGGTAACTGTACAAAATAAGATACTGTAAAATTAAATTAAAATTAAATTTAAATCTTAACAATTTCCGAACATATTCTTGCTAAAGGGAGAAGGGAAGAAATTAGATTTAAAAAGAAAAACAGAGGGAAACAAAACGCTCTCATAACTATACGATAAATAAAGAGATTTGCCATTCTAGTCACGAAATTTCTATCAAATCCATTACAAATATGTATACTCATAATATATATGATCTGTATATACGCTATACAAAACCATCTTGCTGTTTATCATATCCTATAGCTATCTCGACATTCTTGTAAATATGACATAGGAATCATCAAATAGTGAATGGCTGGGAAAAACTGCACGGATTTGTGTATGTTTAATTAGATAAGGATATTAATGTAAAATTTATTCCAAAATTTTTTTAATTGTTAAACGCCCTTTTATGTTCTTCCCTTTATATATGTCTAATGATACATGAAATAAATGAAAATCGAAATATTTATAGCACTTAATGAAAACTGAGACATATGTATGAATTCTAGATATAATTTTCTTTTATAAAAAAAAAATTGTGATCCTTGTATTGTATATGTAGGCTTTTATTCCATTGCCAAAGCATATTGTAAACATTTGTTTTCACGTAGCTCTCTATCTAGTCCTCTATCCTCTTTATAATCTAACGCAGCTAAAAACACATTTCGCCACTCGTGTAAACGATGTCCTCTTTACCACTCAAATGTGCTTTCAATCAATTTTATTGTACATAAAATAAATTCGCACAATCGATGCACGAGTTACAATTATTCAATCCCTCGTAACAAGATGTTAATCCATATTCCATACAGGACCAACATTCCAACAAGGAGAAAGATTACAAAGTATCTATCTCTGCTTAGAATTCCACCAACATAGTTATATCTGTATATATCTCTTAAAACATTGAACAAGGCGTGATGAATCAAAGAAAATTAAATCACAGATTTCAAAATATTAACTGAACAGAAACGGAGTAAACATATGGTGAAATATAAGTATACGATAGAGATTAAATGTACCCTGTTTATCTCTCTCTTCTGTCAGCATTCTGTTTTATATAATAATCACCTTCTATTATTATATTCTATTCTATTTCAGTAAAATAAGCAACAAATATGAAACCACTTTCCTGATCAAAGGCGACTGTTGAATGTCATACATTACGTTCGTTCTTAGCAAACGGTTATCCATGGTTATTAAACAGTTACGGACTAAACGGAACGAGCACCAAGAATGAGATAGATTTACAAAAGGATCTTTCGACTACATTTATTTGAAGAATATTATGACACGGCATACGTATCGTTATTACATAATGCGACTGCGGTCCCATCCACGAGTTACGTCTTTTTGCTCTTCGACCTTATATAGAAGTACAAGACGATCAATCCTATACCAGCGTACGTCGCCTTTGTCACCTGCAAAATAAATCGGGCGCTCGAAAATCCATTCGTAGGCAAATGAAGAAACTCGTCGCGAGCCTCGTACAATAGTCGACGGACAATTTTAAGGTTAGGTCACACTTACGTTCGCCCGACCGTACATGGTTTGGCTGTTGAAGTGTTTCGCCAAACCCGCGAGCTTCTCTTCGCCCTCGGCCATTTTTTCACGGTGGAAAATTCGATTCCAAACGCAAAAATTCTGACAGAAAGATCGCGGAACGTCGTCGTGCCGCGAACCCGCTCCGCTTCGATCGTAATCGTCCGCTGGACGCCATGTTGCGAGATATATCGAGACATCAAGAGCGGATCAGCGGATCGCGAGATATCTATATCTTGAACTTCCTGTCTTTGAAAAGTATTCTCGCCGAGATAATTTTTTATATTTATAAATATTGCTTGCAAAAAACTCGACAATTTCCAAATTTCTGGGATTTTGTTCAGCAATATTTCTAACCTTCTCGAGATTTCTCGTCAATTTGCCTCCATGAGGTAAATATGAAATTATGATTTAATGTAATTTATCATCTTTTATAATTTATAATAAATTATCTTATAATATTTACGATGGACATTTGTATTGTATCTTGTGATATTTATAATAATCATTTATATTGACATTACACTTATGATTAAAATTTACCTTATACTATTTACAGTATTTACGATAATTATATATTTATCTCTGACATTTAATATAAAATTTAAATATTACTATAAAAAATATAGAGATCATATTGTGCAACGCGCAGCAACAATTATTTCCTTAAATTATAAGAAAACAGCTTAATGTAAATCTTGGTACATTCAAATATTTTTTTCATTTCCAGAAAAAAGGCATTTGATAAGAACCTTTTTAATGTTCAGGATATTTCCCAGGCAGCATCGTATCCAAGATCGAGACATAAGACGTCTTTTAGACCTCATATCATAAGACGTTTTAAAGATATCTTAAAGACGTCTTGTGTCCCGATTTTGGACATGCATGCTGTCTGGGTTGACACAGATGGGTATAATAATCGCAAATCTTTTTTTTTTCAACGATATATTTAGCTTTTCTTTACCAAATATATTGTAGCAATTCTTACGCTCATTATATATCTTGTCATCATATAAAAAATTACAAAAACAACTCTTATTATTACTTAAGGCATACTTAATCAGGTAACAACAATGACTGATCTAATTGTAGGATTATATATACTTAATCGCCTAAAATAATAGTAAAATAAATGAAAATATAAATCAGCTAGGTAGAGACGACCAAGAGCAAGAATACTCGTTCTGATGTAGTGAGATTAAACTGTCCTTACACTGAACATTTCTCTTTCTTCTAAGAGCCAATTACTGAAGAAAGAAAAGTATGGCAAGATATAAAAGAAAAGCAATTTTACTCACGACATCTAAAACCGGACAGCATCTTTGCTCACTACTGATATGTTAAGTATTGTTTTATACCTCATCACGATTATATATAAATTCCAAATCAACATAGGCAGTATTACAATTTAAAATATAAAGAATGCAGAGTAGCTTTAAGACACAACATAAATATCATTTGTCCTCGTTATATATATAAACGTCAAAAAGAAATTAAACTAAAACATTCTTATACACTGTTATAAGTACGGCAATTATAGTAATTTCTTATCAAAGGAAATATTGATAAATGTCACATTATTTGCAACAAAACCATACATCACATTAAACATCAGTCAAAAGAAGTTAATAATAAATCACGAGATTCATCTGCTCACTAGAGCAAAGCTTTATAAATCTATATATGTCAAATATTCATATATAATTTGAACATAGTAGAATACGTCGTCTCAAGTCGCGATAAGTGACAATCAACATCTAGAAAAAAAAAAAAAACTACATTAATCAAATGTTCCATATTTTCGTGGAGACTGGAGAATACTTGGACAAATAATATTCGTACAAATAATATTATTCATCTTGATAACGATAAAAAAAATCTTCCGAATTGTTTTTTATTCACGAGAATATTATATTACATATAAATCGTCGTTTGTACATTCACTTCATCAAAATCTATTTCAAGAAAGATTCACTTTTAAGACGTCACATTAAGACAGCACTCACCCACAAGGTAGATAGAATGGAACCGTCCAGAAACTCGTTTTTTTTAAAAGCATTCCCTATTTCTTCACGCGAGACTATTTTCAGTCTGTGCAATAATGCCAACGCGGATTGCAACGAAATCAAACTAATGGAGACAATCCGTTTTTCAGAATCACGGGGAACATTTAGGGGATACCTAGAATGGCAAAAGTATATTCTCACATGAATATCTGTAAATATTGTAATTGTAAATGTTATGCGAGATGACGCACGGCTCCGTCTAAGAGCGATCGACTCGTAATCAGGAAGGTTTCCAGTCCAATCCCGACTGTTATCCCATATGTGCCTCAGTTTTATAAGTTTTATATTGATTGTGTTCAAAGTGAAGTGATGAGTGAAGGAGTAGGAAGAATATAAGAGAAATATAACTTGTTCAAGAAATCCAAATTATTTCAATAAAATTAAAAATGGCAATTGTAAATATGAAAATATTGCAAATTTACCTGTCCAATTGTGAAAATTGTACTGGATATTCAGATCTCTGGATTTCTTTGAAAATAACTTTTATATTCATCGCTTCTAATGTGGCCAATAAACGAGATTGCAACTTGAGATTCGTAAAGGCCTCTACAAACTCGCATGTCAGTATCCAACCATCCTGTTCGATGTTAAATATAAACGTCACACCTTTAACTGAGTCTATGAAGAAATTACTAATAATTAGTTCCGTACATAATGTCAGAAGACAAACGGGTTCAATCTAAATCAGCTATATATTTAAGTGTAGTGTCGTACCAATTTTCTGGAATACAAAAGAGTCGATGTCACGAGTTCTCTGCTGAACGGATCCATGTTCGATGTTGCAGGACTTCGCATAACTATCTATTGGCTTCTCTTTGTCGTGGCTGTCTTTAAATTTAAAAATGTTGCTCGAATCGGTCGCTTCAGTCATCTCTCGAGGTGCGAACCTTCTGCTGTTATCGCAGTTCCAGTCTTGACGGAAGAAAGTAGTCGGTGTGCCAAACGCAGGGTTCTCATTGTGATTCGATACAGGAACGCTGTTTTGGAACTTTAAATTGGCCCAATATTCTGGAACCTCGGTTTGAGTCCAAGATTGCGACGACACAGGTTGTCGCAAATTGTTCACGTTATTGTTTTGCTGGTAATAAGTCGGTTCACCTTTTATTATCGGCTGTGAGCCCTGCGTGTAATATGCAGGTGGTCGAGTGACATAGTTCTCGTCAACTTGCGGGTTATCTCTCGTTATCTGATTTGTCACTTTGTGCTGCTGCGTGTACGAAGCAGCAATATCGTTCGCAGCCTGCGATGTCGGTTTCTTATCTTGTCTTAATTCGCGAGATTGAGCGTTCTGAATGTTATCGGAATTATTACTGCATGTGTTTTGCCTTGCATCTGCGTTTACTTGCTGCTTCTGCGTATTATACATTACCGGACCGGATTCATAGACCATTTTCGGAGTGTAATTTTCACTGACATGAGCATTCAAAATGTTATCGAGATTATTGCTGCATGTATTTTGCCTTGCGTTTGCGTCCGCTTGCTTCTTCTGCGTATTATAAATTACCGGACCGGCTTCGTAGACGATTCTCGGAGTGTAGTTTTCACCGACATGTCCCGCAGGCGTAAAGCACGTGCTCCCCGCGTGAATATTCACAGTTTCCGTTTTTGGAGCGTGGCTGTTCTGTGGATTTTTTGCCGAGAAATACGATGTGATATCAGTATCGTAGTTATGAAACGTACGCTCATTCTGCGTCTCCGGTACCTGCATCCTGTTAGTCATATAAAACTTGAAGGGATTTGTATCTTTGAGCATATTGGCGAACTGAGTATTTACGGTCTCCAGAAATTCCGAGGAATTACTGCTAGCACTCGTTGGGATCGCTGGAGATACTGGCGTCACAGGAACGTTTTCGTCATTCTGATTGGTGTTTGGAATGAAGGTACTAGCTGGTGGTATGTGATTAATGAATGTTGGAGGTGCAGGACTACCAGTTGGAGGAGGCATTTGCGGAGAAGGCATTTGCATATGCGGATTGAGCTCGTCCGATTGGTTCCAGTTGGTTTTAAAAGTAAAACCGTCTGAGCTGTAACTCGAAAACGCGGCGTTACTCTGTGGTCTGTCATCGCCGTTAGCGCCAAACGGATTTGACATCGAGATAGTATTTGCATTGAAGTCCTTCGTGAAAGTTTCACTATTTAAATTATACGACGCCTTCGGCGCGGAACCAGCATCGTTCAATGTCGTCCCGCTCGCAGGATTGGGCGTTGACGGAGTTTTCGTGCCAGTGGAACAATCACTTTTTTGTTCTAATAAAACGTTCTCCACAATCGTCAAAATTTTGTGCAACTGAATCAGATCCTTGAATGCGATTGAAGGTTTTAGCAGCTCATAGAGGATATCAGTCACGCTACTCTGCAGCTTCTTGCTCTCATTCCAGAGTGACATGTATATCTGTTTGGCATTATCATAAATAAGTTCGTCAGTCAGGAACGGATTCGTCGTCGCCTCCGCGTTGTTAAAGACCGACGCCTTAGCGTTCAACGTATTCGCGAAGGAATAAACGTTCTGGAAGTTTGTCGATGATAAGTTAGGCGGAACGCGTTGTTCACCGAGAGGCGGAAAACCTGGTGGCGGTCTCACTGGCTGTTGCTGATGATGACTGTCATAATGTAGCGTTGATTTCGGGGAAACCAAAGGTACCTCGAACGTCTCCTCTGTCGATGTTGCTTTGCAGCAGTTGTCGGGCATCAGGTTCTCCTCCGCGAAGCAATATGTTGGTAATTGGTTCAAATTGTTTCGCACATACTTCATTATGCTAGCCATGTCGACGGCATCAGCCTGAGTGACGAAAGCAAAAGGGAAAAGATCAGATAAAGTGATACGTCTGATAAAGTCGTAGTAAAATTTTTGATTTTAGAAAATAAAAGTGAATGTACGGATATCAATCAATCTCTGAATATCTGAAGATGCTCAAAGTATAACAACCGATTAAATTAGGCAACTATAAGTGATAATTCGGGAAAAATTATCACTTTATGAGATCATATTGTTTTTATACTGACTAGTATAATAATTCCACACACGCATACTTTTTACAGACTCCAAATTCTTTATTACAATGTAATAGAACGACAGCCATGACGACATCATACAAGATTCAAATTTTTCCCAAAATTAAACTAAACTGATATCCTAATATATATTATATATTACATAATCGCAAAATAGTTACAAATATATATAACTTCTGATAACATGTATATTATTAAGATCACATATACATATATATTTATACATATATTTTGTGTGTGTGTGTGTGTGTGTGATTATAATTATATTATAATATATTTCACACGCATTTTTTAAGTAAAAAAAAAAAGATAAGAAAGCTGATCGTATATATAATTTATGATTATATATAATTTATTATATTCGCTCTCGTGGCGTCAATTTTCAAATTTATTGTTCTAGATTTAAGTTAATTGCGTTGCTTATATTATGTGCGCGATGTAAAAAGGAAATTGAGTCTTCAATAGATCCTGCACAAACATCCCATCCGTCATCGGATTCTACATCGCAGTCATTGACGACCGGAGCAAATGCTATTTCGGTCACGTTCGCGTCATCATTCATCGATTTGCACGTTTCGGATACGAAATCTGATTTAATCGATTCATTACCCCTCTTACTTTCGTCACTTTTATCGTCATTGATACTTTCTCGACTAGAAGTCAGATCGTCAGAATCCAATTCAGTGTTATTATTCTGTATATTTTTCACGATCTTTAACATCTGTTGCATTAGTTTCGGAACGTCCAACGCCGTCTGATCCGTCGCATGCAATTGATATTTTGAATCATCAATGTTACAGGATACAGGAATAGAATCAGACCGATTCAACTGATGCTGTTTCGTGTCATCAACATTTGAAGCACGTGAATCAATTTCCAAGGACTGATTCAACTGACGCTGCTTTATGTCATCAACGTTAGAAGAAGCAAGAGAATCTGTTTCTATGGATGAAAAAGTTGTTACTGTGGAATCATTATGTGATTCATCTAATGTTAACTTTTTAGGCAACTCCTCGGACATTGACTTCTTAACCAAGCTGTGTATCTTGATGCGATTATTTATATCCATACAGTTCGATGCCTTAGATTGTTCGTCGTTTGATGATATAATGATGCTATCATTGGATGTATTGATACTGTAAGACGACGATCGAATTTGCTCGCTGCTAGAAGATTCACTTGAGTCAACGAAATTGGAGTTTGTCTTGCGACTTAATTTGTCCAGTAGCCTCTTGTATCCAGGAATGCATGCTTTATTATTTGTACTGGACGCAAGGGAATTGTTTGTATTGCGTCCAGACATTTCTTTGCTCATATTATCTTTATTAGATATATTAGAAAAAACTGACTCCGGATCTGTATTGGAATTTCCGTCCTGTATTTTCAGATTGGCCTTTCTTTCGCATACTTTGCCATTTCTGTCTACTTCTCGATTAATTTCCCTCGAAGAAGTTACGTCATTGAATTCAACGATATTTGTACTGGATTTTGATGTATCTTCAGATTCAACACTATCATACAATGTCTTCATCGTCATGGGTTTAAACCTTACTGTGACAATTTGGTTGGGTGTTGTCTTGTCTCTCATCATTTTTATAAAATCGGTCATATCGTCAAATCGCTGAGAAATATTATCCTCAGGCAGAGAAATATTATCCTCAGGCAGAAAAATTTCCTCTTCCATACGGGTCATGTTTAAAAAATATTGTTCGCCAGGTGTCTCATTTCTCTGATTATGCGAGCCTGATTTATCTTCTACGTCGCTCTTATGTTTTTTACTTGACATATCCAAATTATCAGGTACTGTATCAGTTGTTTTATTCTCCTCTCTTATTACCGACCAATCAAAGGGCTCCATCAAACCATGTCCACCATACAAACTCCTAAATGTTCCAAAATCTTTCGTATCATTATTTTCATCATCGGAATCTCTCATACTGAAGTCCATATAACCGGGAGAGTTATATATTTCACCGTTATTCTGCAATTTTACTTCCCTACTTGAATCGATTTGTCTTGCATTATCTTCCTCTGTGTTTGTCCCGGACATGGAAGTGCTCGGTTCAGAATCGGATTTCCGATTATGACTCAACGTTTTCGATTTTTCCAACAATGGAACTTTCGTAGGTGTCCTCGACTGCCCAGTTTGCGGATAATTTCTCGACTGCGATCTAGTATCCAAAGCCTCAGTATCCGGAGACTTAGCATTTAAAGACTTAGCAGACGAAGATTTGTCATGCAAAGATTTAGCATCCAGCGATTTACTGCATACCCTTTGCAGGAACACTTTTTTGCTGTTCGGGACGTTATGCAAGGACTTGACAGTATTGTTTTCGATATCTTCGCTTTTTACATCGGATAATCTATGCGCTCTCTCATCACGCGATATCAAATTATTTCTATGTCGCGATTTATTTATATTGTCTGCGCTTCCCGCATTAAATGTCTTAATAGACTTAGAAGATTTGATTTTATCGGATGTCATATAATGTATTATGTCAAACATACGCACCGTGTTACCCACTTGCGCTAGTCTCTCATTCACTAACCAATCGTTTATACGCACATCCTCTTCTTCGCTTGTATCGGTCAAAATGACCATCATGGAATTGTGCTGTAAAAACAATCAGATAAATAATTTTATAACAATTTTGTAATTTTATAATATTAAGTTGCACAATGTTAGAGATTAAAAAATAAGATGTAAGTAATTTTCTATTGTTCTTTTAAGATCAAAAATTAAAATAAAAAAATAAAGATAATTCAAACAAAAATAATTATAAAAATATTAATAACAAAAACAAAGATATTAATAAAATTATAAAATATATAATTCAGATTTAAGAATTAAAACATTTTGATGTTTTAACTTTCAAAAATAGAAAAAATAATCTTACCTCAGGATCAATAGTAACTATAGTTGCAGCTAAAAGAGTATCCTCAATCTTTTCGCTGAATTTTTCAGCTACGCTCCTTTTCCAGCGATCACCAACACTTGGTTTAATCTTATATAAGCCGCAAGGTATTGCTTGAGCCGGTAAATAGGCAAACTGTTGATGCAAATAATATACATCCTCGGGTGTATATGTCTTCATAGTACCATAATCATAAAAGAATACCTGTTTTGAAAAATAATTATTGCATATCAAAATATAATTTCTAAAAATTAATAACATTATTTGTCGGAAACTTAGTTATTTATTGCTTTAGTGCAGTTTATACCACACTTATACTAACCGTTACTCTAAAATCTGGTTTTACACTCCTAATGATCGCTCGGTGCCACCTATTGGCGTAAATGCACGCACAATTCAGGTCCTTTTTCAAGGCAATTTTGGCAATGGTATATGTACTTTTTTTATACTCGTAGAAGTCCCTAAAAGCAATATAATTCCGATAACTCAGATTTTACTATCAACATTAATAAAAAAATTTACAAAAATTGGTTAACTGCACATGTACTTACGATAGATCATCCATCATTTTATCAAAATGTCTTCTATTTTCTCGAAGATGTACCCAAAAAAAGTTTGGATGAAACACTTCTATAACATATACCCCCAAGTATTTTCTGTTGCGTTTTAATTCAACCACCGATATTTTGTCAACTTTATCGTCATAATTCATCACGTCATTAGGAGCGAAGATCCTGGTAATGGTAGGAGACTGTAAAATTACATAGATTATTATAATAATTGAATTATCATGTTGCATTACAAATATTAAATACCCTTCCAGCATTACAATAATCAACAAGAAATAATTAATTATTTAATTTAATTAACATTATATATAAAGAAGACACGTGAAAAGAAAATATTGATTTATTGTTATATGCTTTAAAGAATTATATAAAAAAAAACATTTAAAAAAAATACTATAGATGTATTTTTATATGTTAAAAAAATTGCTACTCATGAATTTGTCCTCGTACTTAAGTATACCATTAAAATTTCTATTATTTGAAATAAAAATTGGACACCAAAGGTTAACGCTTAGCTTGTACTTTCTACTAGGTCTTTAACAGTAATATTCGTTAGAATACATTAACAGTTTTAGCATTATTAATTATTATAGTTAACAATTTACTGCATAATCCACAAGAATATACTTTGCTGGCAAATTCTAAATTATAAAATATCACTAAACAAATACTGTTACGTACAACATCTGATGGAAACGGTGGATTATCCTCGTAATTACGCAAAGTTTGCGCTATATCAATAGGCTCTGGAACCACTGGCCTCTTGTCCGCGCTATAAAGCATGAAATCATCCATCTTGTCAACCTGCGTCATGTAGAAGATTTGCGGCAGGTAAGACGCGAATTCGCGCACACTGTCAAAGCCCAACTGGACGTAATTCAGGCACACCTTGTACTCGCGTAAGTATAAGTTGGGCAGATCGGGACACCAAATGCCGTCCGGATGTTTCCGCATCAGTTCCTTCAGTCGCAACTTTATTCTATCACTTATCAGTTGGGACATATCAACGTCGGCAGTCCTCATTTCCGTGTTGCCGTTGCCATTCATCATGGCAAAGGCTTCTTTATCACTTATTTCCCCATTCGTTTCTGCACGTCTCTGACAGTTACTGGCAGAATCAGCTGGCAGAAAATCGTCATCACTAAAATACTCTATACCATTCTCGTAATCCTCTTGTCCGGCAGCACATATAGTTGGTGTCGGAGGCGATTCCGAGTCGATCTGTGATTTGCTCGGCAACTGTGGCTCTTCCTTCGGAAGCTGCTGCTGGGCCGCTTTATGCGAATCGTTACTCAAGATCGGAAAAATCATGTTGCCATCCAGGCGCAACTGATGCGACAGCAATTGTAATTGCCCCCGTAATTGCTGTGCAGAAATACTGACGTATGGCACTGACCGCTGTACGATCGTCACAGCGTCCTGCAGACTCACACCGTTTGGATTGTCTTTTATATGTTGCAGAAGCTGACATAACATGTCAGGTGCGATGTGAAATTCCTGCACTGGCCTCGCGTAATGATGTGGACGCCGATTAAATGGCGGACGAAAACGGGGTTGGATGTATCTGGCTTTCGGGGGCTCTCTCATCCTCTGACGTGACACCAACGAGCTGACGTGCTTACTTTTCTCCGACGGAATCCCGCGTACGTAGTGAACGCCGTTGTACTGCTCGACAATGAAATGTTCCGGGAAACTTTGGAGAAATTCCACTAAATTGTAATATCCAAATTGACGATATGGTATACGGGTGTTCTCCGCATAATAATAGTCTCTCTCTAGAACCGGTATAGCTGTGGCGCCTTTCCGGGAGACCAATAACGCCAGGATAAGCTGGCGGATCTCTTCACGTTTCTCGGCCTTGCTCATCCTTGAAATCTCTGTTTGGATTTATAAAAAAAAAAATTTATTATCATCTCCTATCGTGAAATCAAAACGCT